TAAGCTGCTTGCATTCAACAATGTAAGAATGTCTATGTCTATGAGTTGTATAGATGTGGGCCAGAATTAGTACTGTACCATAAACAAAATCACATCAAAGTGGCCTGTTGTCTTCAGTATCTTAAGATACTCACTTCACATTAGACTGAAACAGTGATAAAGAGTCTGAAATATCACTGCTCAAAGATTTCCCACATAAAGGCAAAGTCAAGGTGGTCTTTCTAGACCAAAGAATCCAGAGATTTCCTTCTAGTTTCCAAGAAATTTTATTTATTTATTTGTTATTTATTTATTTATTTGAAAGGGGTGCACACATGTCATAGTGCACATATGGAGGTCAGAGGACAACTTGTGGGAGTCAGTTCTCTCCTTCCACCACGTGGGTCCCAGGAACTGAATTCAGGTTGTTGGGTGTGGTGGAAGCACCTTTACCTGCTGTTCCATCTGGCTGGCCTGAATTTTTTTTTTAATCCCCTCATGGTTGGTTTTAGTGGAGGCAATGTACACAGTCCAAGACACCAAACTTTCAGAATTTTAGTCCTGTGCATTTGGAGACGCTGCAGAGAATAGTGTAAATCGATGCACTTTATGATGCTGGCTGCCTGAGTGCTCTTTAGTTCCAGGGAGGAAGCGAAGGGAGCTCCAGCAGCTCTAGCAGAGCTGTTCTTGCACTCCTGGGCAGCAACTGCAGGTCCAAGAAGAAACCAAAGTAAGCCCTTCCTGTTCCTCCACCTCAGCTGTAAAGTTCACCATCTGTACAGCCACTTAATTAGTCCCATTTGTCTTCTGCCAGACTGTACTGGCAGGGGCCCCTCCCTCCCAACCACCTTCACACAGTGTTGCCACAGGGCCCAGGATAAAGATGTACTCTCTGCACACAGCACTTGTGTCCTGATCCAGAGTCTTCAAAGCTAAAATATGGTACTAACACAGCCTCACCCCACTCTGGCACCCCAGGTCTCTTTGTCAGTGGTTGGCACAGGGCTGCTGGCTCTTCCAGCAATCAGTGCTTCTGGCAGAAAAACAACTTCTGACATTTCTCTCAAGGGCCACATTTTCATTCTACCTCTTTGAGGAGGGAAAACAGGAGACGGGAACAGTGAGACTCTGGACCCTGAGTGGTGAGGGACATGCAAACTTGATTTCCTTGAAAACACAGGTCAAGAGCTGCAAAGGAGGGTGTTCTTAATCAGGTCAAAGCCTTTGTGCGAACTTCAGAATCCTGTGAGGTAGTCAGCAGCAAGATGTGGCTGGCTGCCCTCCACATGTGAGGCGGAAGTGGAGGGAAAGGAGAAAGCTGGAAGACCGGCGGAGCCACGCCCGAACGGCTTTGACTGCCTGGCTTGCTGTGCTCACAGCTGTCCTGGGACCAGGGCTTTCCTTCCTCTTGCTTTTGATGTCGAAATTTTAGAAGTCAGGAATATCCCACACACACATCCCAGAATGGAACGGGGATAGTGTGACGGTGAGGGCATGGTGGAGGCTATAAATGCTGAAGTCCCCAGGGAAATGGCAGAGCGAACAGAGGATCCCAGTTCATTTATAGCACTTCCCTGACGTAGAGGAAAGGGAAGGAAAGGACTTTGACTAACACCCTGAGTGAAAAATGCAAATACGGAAACATTTAAAAGAGGATTCTAAAGGTTAGGGAAGGATGTGTATTTCCTGCCTTGTTTTTCATACCAGCAGCCGCGGAGGCTGCAACTGCATTTCAATGTCTTTTGTAAATGAGAACAGGAGTGAAATAAAGAAATGAATCTCACAGACAATCCCCAAAGCTTACTCTTATCCATGAGCTTCAGCTGCTTCCCTCGCAAATCATCCATCCCAGCTCCTAAGGGGGAGGGAAAGGAGCTGGCGGAACCTTGAACTCGCAGGAGAGGTTTGTCCTCTGAAGGCAGCGTGAGATGCAGGGAGGAGCCAGTTTTCCAGGGAACAACGCTGGGTGAGGCACAGTGTTATGAGTTCAGATTGCCGTGTCCCCCAAAGCTCCTGGGGTAAAGGCTTGGTTGCCAGTCGATGGGCTTTTGGGAAGTGTTTGGATCGTTAGGGCTCCAACCTCATCAGTGGATTAAGCCATTGATGGATTATGGTGTTATGGAAAAGAGAAGGTGGGACATGGTCAGAGGAAGTAGGTCCTGGGGGACATGCCTTTGACAGAAGTATCTTGTCCCCAGCCTGCCTGTCTTGTTCTCTGCCTACCATGATGCTCTCTGCATCACCACGTTCAGGCCCAGGAGAAACTGTGGACAGAAACTCGGAATTGTGAAGCAAACGATAGCCTGCTCCTTCAAGCTGTTTATGTGGATATTTTGTCACTGCAGTAAAAAGGAACAACAGGCACATTTACAGACACTGGGGTGTCTTCAGAGCAGAGAAGGCTCACAACATGACAGGTCTGGAGAGGATAATCCAATCCAGTTAGTTTCCTTGCAGAATCTGAAGGAGAAGCTCTGAGACGTTAGACCTGGTAACTAGAAAATAGCAAAACCAGGGTTGGAAGCTGCCTGCTGTCTGGTCTGTGGCCCCCTGCTCTATATCCCACCTTCCAACTTCTGTCTGGGACATGCCACTCCCCCTCAGATGATGTCACCTAGGGCTCTATGGCGATCAGGCACATGTTGAGGCTTCTGGCAGAGCTTTTTGCAATGCTCAGTTCATCCAGTGATCCAGTGTTTCCTCTGGCACATTGCTTCATCTGTGGGAATGGGTGAAATGCAGATTTTTTTTTTTCCCCTACCAAGGACATTCTATTCTTTCAGCCTCATTTTGTGTTCTCCAAATTAGACTCAACTATTTTCTCTCAGTTTTGACCCCTCAGGTTCCAGAAGACATGGGTGTTCCCTTGAGAAGTAGTCAAATAATATTCTTATCCCTGTTCCTGCAGATAAACGGTGGGCCTTAGACAGGACCTGGCTTAATTGCCTCTTTAGCAGATAAGAAAAATAGATCCAGAAAGCCTGGTTTTCCAAAAATAATACTGCTGGCCAGAAGAATAGCTGGGAATCTAAAGTGCATTTGAGTGGGCTCCACTATCCCAGGCCAGCTGCCATGACAGTGGGAGGGGGTCAGAGGGGAGGGGGATGTACTACTAGAACTGCCCCCCCAACCCCACCCCAGCTCCTCTTGGCTAGATTCAGGAGTAGGTGCTTCTGCAGTGATCTTGTAGTGAGGATGGAGATTAAAGGGACATGGAGAGACTAGTCTCCTGCTTTAGACTGAACCTTTCAAAAACTACAAGCTTTCTTGGGCTGCCTCAGGGGTTGGGAAATGCTTTCCAGGACTACTTACTTTCAGGGAACTTGAACATGGATGATACTGGAGTGACCTAACTCTCATCAGTTCTTCCTCTGACCCATCCCAACCCTGGGTGTTCACGGGTTCTGCTGAGACAGCACTCAAGTGGAGACCATGCTCCTCTAGTGAGATTTCAAGTAGCTGTTTCAAATGTAATTTTTGTCTACTAATGGAGAAAAGAGGTTACTGTTTTTAGGGGTCAAAGATTCATGAAAACATTCTCAATCAGATCATACTGACACAAACTCATCGTAGACTATCAGTGCACTCTACATATGATCTTAGCAACTTGAGATTGCAATGGGAAGAAGATAAATGCCGCAGGTATATCCAAACGGTGCTTGCATAGATGATGAGGCTTGGTCTGGTACCTATTGATGGTTAGAATCTACTTGACTGCAGTCTAAAATGTCTGATGTCAGGGTTCAGATATTGGGGCAAAAGATAGAGATTTGGAGATTAAGGACTGGGGTGAGAAAATGAATCCATCTCCCCCACCTCTAGTCATCAGTGGTGGAGCTTGGAGGAGAGAGAGATCCTTCAGGCTCTGTTGGGTGACACATAGGATCGGCTACAAGCAGAGTGAGTACTGGTGTTGGTGAGTGAGAAATGAACCATTGGGGGTTCCTGATTCTGCACAAAACTTGAGATGGGAGACACCTGGCCTCAGGGCCACCGATAGTCATCACTAAACATACAGCTGTCTTGAAAGAATGTTCTCTAAACAGCATTTAAGTCTCTGGACCAAAACACAATGAATTCATAATTATTTATTGTAATCGCTCATAGTTTATACATCAATGGTTTAATAATACCTTTAAACACCTGCTAGGTAAAGAGCTTCATTATGAGAATTTCCAATTGGTGCCATTTCTTTCCTACAATTTAAGTTTTAAATCCTAGATCTTCTCTGAAATTATTTTCAGACTACTCTGATATCAACACAATAATGCCTTTCTTTTGCGCTAACATCTAACACAAAGGCATGCTGTCCCACTAATTCAACATGCTCTTTACAAGGCAAACAGGCAAAATTGTTTTAACCCACAAGCTGCATAATGGTCACTTTATATTTTGCTGCAAAATCAATAATGGATGCATGCAGATGACACATTAGAAGATGGAGTTCCAGATTAACTGTCAGTTATTAAGCTCTGATGACCTGGTATGGAAATTAATCTGCTTATTTAGCAGAAGTAGCTAAAGCCCATGCATCAGTGGCTGGGATCAATTGGAATACAAATTAGGTGTCTAAACATTAAAATGAAAGCTTAATTTGAGTTTAATTTGACACCTGGAATGTCTGAGTTATGCACCTTTAAAGAGAAAAATCAAACATCTAAATAGTAATTGATTTACAGAGTGGGCTGAGCATATTGCTTGGGAGCGAATAGATCTCTTTTTAAAAATAATGTTTTAGTTATCTTTATATAGTTGTTTGGTTATTGTGTGTATGTGCCGTGTCATGAATACAGAAGTCAAAAGACAACTTTTAAGAGTTGGTTCTCTCCTTTCACCATGTGGGTTCCAGGAACGGATTAAAGCAAAGACTGTGGGGGGCGTCAACAAATTGTAAGCAGGGCAAGAAGATACAGCTGTTTCCTGTATCTTCATTTTAAAGATCTTTTAATTCTTTTAAACCACAACACCCCTCCCCCCCACAAAACACAATAATTGCAAATCCATTGATTTGCCCAGACCCCTCTTTTGTCTTCTACCCTGCCTCTCTGCTCCTTCAGACGTGTCTAAAAACAAGGCTCTGTTTATGAGTATGAAATAAAAGAAATGCCTAAGTCCCACCACGAGAATTTCATCTTCAGCCTGTCAGGGTTAGCATGTTCCAGCACAGAACAATGCACGTTTGATGATTACCGCTACAGTGATTGCATCTCATGTCCACATTCTAACGCTAAATCATAGTTCTAATGTTGATTATTTTTCATTGATAGTTATAGTTGACACCATTTAAGACAAACAAAACATCCCAAACCTCATAGATTCCATTCCCTCCCTACCCTCTACCCTGTCCTGCAGTCAGTCCAGTGAGCAAGAGGGTTGTACTGACAGCACTGCTAGCTGAATGTCGAGTTGATGCTTTGGATGGCATTCGGCCTTCAGGCACTGCCATCTCCAGTCTTGGCTTTGCGGGCCTTGATCATCGACTTGGTGGCCCGTTTGCGGTCGGTGGCCAGCCCCAGCAAGCACATGACGTCAATGAACCAGGTGGTCGGGTTGAAATTTAAGCCAAATTCACTTGCAGAGTAGTCAAAGGGAAAGGTATGATGATAATTGTGGAACCCTTCACCTGGAAGACAGAGCCACCTTGAAATAATGTTGTCACCTCCCTAACAGATGTAAGTTTTAAAAATTATTATTGATTTTTTAGGCTAACATACAGAGCAATGGGTTTCATTATGACATCTTCACACACACACACACACACACACACACACACACACACACGCACAAACACCGTTATACTTAATTCTCAGTTGTTCCTTCTCCCACTGCCTTCCTTGTACTCTGCTGCTCTCTGGTTGATCCCCCCCCCCACCCCCAGTTACTTCTTTCTTCTCTTTTCTTACCATGTGTATTAACTGCTTTCTCCTTTCCCCTCCTTAAGATCTTGTCCTCTCCTCTCATGATTCTCTTTTTAGTTTTATGAGACACACACAATACATGTATCTAAACACATAGATAGATGATAGATAGATAGATAGATAGATAGATAGGCACAGAATTTTAAATCTGTATTCTACATATAAGAAAAATGTGATATTTATCTTTCTGAGTCTCACTTATTTCACTTGACATAATGATTTTCCATTACCATTACTTTCCTACAAATGTCATGATTTCAATTTTTGTTATGGCTACATAAAATTCTATTATCTATATATCACTTTTTTTACCCATTCATCAAGGCTGGTTCTATTTTCTTGTGTTGTTTCCAGAATAGCAATAAACACGGATGCCTGCTCAGGTGCTTAATCACCTACATTTTAGGATCTACTGTGTGTAAGACTATTTTAGACTCTGTGTGAAGCAAAAGACTGCTTCCAGCCCTCAGAAGCATGCGCTTAGTTGGTGAGGCAAATTAAGTTGAACAGAAAATAAGTACAGTTGTCAGCATCAAGTCACAAGACTAGCTTTCCTATGTGGACTGTAGACATACCACCCCTTTAGAGGTACACTTCTCAAAATAAATGCTACGTGGTGACAACAGGCCGTTATTTTGACATATGTTCATAAAAGGAAAGTGAGCTCTGTGGGTTGGAGTGATTACAGGAAGACTTTGTTCAAGCTTGGATGAAGGAAATGAGAAAACTCAGACAGGTAAGTGAATTTACCAGCTGGGTCTTTAAATAACCAATATCTACCTGTGTGTTAGTTTCTCTCTCCCACTGACCTGCTTTCCTCCTTTTTCTTAAAAGAGCATAGTCATGAGAGGCCTGGGGGCACCTCTCATTTGAGTTTCTTTCTCTTTTTTTTATTTAATTGACAAGTAAAAAAAATATAACAATAGGTTTTGAAATCTGTATACATTGTAGAATGGCTAAATTAAGCTAAGTAACACTACACTTTACCTCCATACTTAATTTTTGTGTCTGCCAGGAATTTTGTATCCTTTGACCAACCTCTCCTACCCTCGCAGCTCTCCCAGCACCTGGTAACTCAGGTTGGGGTCCCTGCTTCTGTGAGTTGGCCTTTAGAGTCAACATGTAAACAAGACTGTGAGGCATTTGCCTTTCGGTGCTGATGTGTTTCACTTAGTGTTCTGTCCCCCAGGATCCTCCATGTTGCTACACATGGCAAGATTTCCTTCTTTTTTAAGGCTGAAGAATATTTCATTGTGCACCTGTATATTCATGTACCATATTTTCTTTAGCTAATCATTCACTGATAGACATTGACTCAGTATCTTGACTATTGTGACTACTACTTCAATAAGCACGGGCACGCAGGTGTCTTCAGCAACCTTTCCTTTGGCTATATACACCGTTGTAGGGTCGCTAGATCATATGGTGGTTCTATTTTGAACTTTTTGAGGACCTTCCGTACTGTTTTTCCATAATGGCAGAACTAACTTATAATCCTTTCAACAGTGCACAAGCGTTCTCTTTTCTCTGCATCCTTTCCAACACTTACATCTTTCATCTTTTTTTTCTTTTTTTTTTCAGGTTTTGTTTTTTTTTTTTTTTGTTTTTTTTTTTTTTTTTTTTGGTCTTTTTGAGACAGGATATCCCGTAGCTCCAACTGTCCTGGAACTCACTATGTAGACCAGGCTGGCCTTGAACTCACAGAGATCTGCCCGCCTCTGCCTCCCGAGTGCTGGGATTAAAGGCATGTGCCACCACGCCTGGCTACATCTTTCATCTTTTTGAAAATAGTCATTCTAACGAAAGTGAGGTGATATCTCATTTTGCTTTTAACTTGCATTTCTCTGGTGATCCATTTATTTGCTTTTAAAAAGAATTTCATTGAGTCAGAATTCATGTGCCTCAGGATTCCACCTTCTAAAGTACACAATATAGCGACTTTTAGTATTTTCATAGAGTTGGACATCCATCACCATAATGAATTTTATAAGATTTTCATTATTCTTCAAGAGACCCCCTCCACACTATCAACCCCCTCCTCCCACATTATCAACCTCCTTTCAATCCCTCCCAGCCCTATTTTCTGTCTCAATAGATTTGTTTGCTTTGGACAGTTTATAAATTTTTAAGTTGTATTTATCTTTGTGTGCATGTGTGTGTATGGGAAGAGGCGTGTGTGTGCCATGGCGCACACTCAGAGGTCAGAGGACAGCTTCTAGGAGTGAATTCTCCGTCCACCATGGGTCCTGGAGATTAAATTCAGGTGGTCAGGTTTGTATGGCAAGCACCTTCACCTGCTGAACCATCTCCCCAGCTCTGCTTTGGACAGTTGATGTAAATGAAATCATACAATAAGTAGTCCTTTGTGACTGAGTTTTTCACTGAGCACAAGACTTTCAAAGTTCAGCTGCATTGTAGTATATAGCATAACATTATTCCTCTTTCTTGCTGAGTAGTGTTTTACTGCATGGATGTACTACACTATATTTATCTGCCAGTTGTAGGTTCTTTTCCACTTTCTAGTTACTATGAATAATGTTGCTATGAAAATTCATGTTCTTGAGCACATATGTTTTCATTTCTTGTGGGCATAAATCTAGAGTGGAGTGCTCCATCATATGATGACTATTGTTAACTGCTGGAGAAGCTCAGATTCTCCCCTCCCTTCTCACTTTGTCTTCTTTCATTTTAAATTATATTTATTATTTTTTGATTTTTATTTTGTATGTCTGTGTATGTGTGGGGGCACACATGTGCCATGGTGTGCAAGTGGAGGTCAGAGGACAACTTGGGGAGGCCAGTTCTTTACCATGTGGGTCATAAGGATGAACTTATTAGGCTTAGTGGCAAGTGCCTTTACCAGAGGAGCCATCTTGCCAGCTTAGGCTACCCTTGAACTTACTGTGTAGCCAAAGATAACTTTGACCTTCTTATCCTTCTGCCTCCACTTCCTCAGTGTGGGGATTACAGGCATGCATGATCACCCCCTCTCCCATTTATTCAGGGGTGGGAGTGAACCCTGGGCCTTATGCATGCTAGACAAGCACTCTACCAACTGAGCTCACCCCAGTCCTTCTCTTCTTAAGAGGGTACTGGTCATCATTTAACTCTTCCACCAACAATTTTTGAAGGATTTGGCTTTACAGTGAGTACATCAGATGGTCTGATATGTGGGCTGCAATTTTTACTTTTAACTTGGGTTTCCCTACCCTTTCCCCCACTTGCATCATCTTTAGTGGGGGTTTTTCTGTTGTTTGTTTTGGTATGTATATATGTGTTAAAGTACATTGGATAGAAGTTTCTTCCTCTTTAAAAATTTTTTAAATTTATTTTTATTTTCTGTGTGTGTTTTGCCTGCATGTATGTAAGTGTACCCATGCATACAATGCCCATAGAGGCCAGAAAAGGGTGTCAGATTCCCTGGAACTGGGGTTAAAAATGGTTGTTAGCCACCAAGTGGGTGCTGGGAGTCAAAGTTGGGTCCTCTGCAAGAGCAGCCAGTGTTCTTAACTGCTGACCTGTCTCTCCAGCCCTTTTTCCTCTTATTTTTTGAAGCAGGAACTATCGGTGCCCTTCTCTTTCCATTGGACAACTGAGTATGACAAAAGCCTTCTGAAGACCTTCATGAAGCATGCTCAGTGGGCCTGTGCTCTTGGCCTGAGTACATGTAAAGCCAAGGTCCAGCTCTTTAGGATCTGTGACATGATCATTGCTGTTTGGTCCTGCCCTGTGTGTCCCTATATAAGGTGTTCCTACATGCTGTTCCTACTTCTATTTGTGCCACAATTAACTCTGGACATGGCTTCTCTGGTTACAGTCCTCTCAAGATGCAAGGTGGGAGAGAACACAGCAGAGGGGCAGAAAGTTCCTTTTCTGTTCCAAAGCCCCTTTCCCCTCCCATCCAGAGACTCCACAGCTAAAGCTGGTGTCTAGTCCACCATGGACTGCTGCTGTGAACACAAGTTGATAGGAATCCTCAGATCTGTGAGGTCTTAATTGGATGACTAATGAATGATACAATGCAGAAACTCACCACTGAGTGACACAGAGACTTTCTATCTAGCCATAGGAACGTCCCTTTCTGGTTTGATCCCTGCTCAAGGCTCAGCTTACGAAGAGGCTGGAGTTGCTTCTGCAAAGATGCAGCTAATATTTATGACTCACTTACTGCATGCTGGGTATAGCACTAAGCGCTAAGTATTAACTCCTATTATCTTCATGCCTTTCAGCTAACTGCTATGATTATCCCCAATTTAAAATGAGGATGGAAATGCTCAGAAGGGACAAGTAACTTGCCTAAGACCATAAAGCTAGCAATAAAGGCAGCATCACAGAAGGCCTATTTCGTGCTAAGCGCCACTATAAGTAATGTGTATTAACTCATCTCCCTTTCCAATGACCCCAGGAGGAGGGAAGGACTACTTATTATCTTATTATAGATAAGGACCCAAAATGTTGAGCGGCCAGATAACTTAGCAGAGAGCAAGCCAAAGATTCAGGATGCCACCCAAATCACTGGACTCCACCAGCCCTACTCATATAATCTGTGGTCCTACAAGTTTCCTTTCTTTGCATCTCTCTGTTTGAAGTCCTTTTGTTTCTTTCTTGCTAAATAATGGAAGAGCCAAGTCTAGAGTGGTCAGGGATGGCTGTGGAAAAAGTCAATGGCTGCTTCTTCTCTAGGAAAACTTTCATGGTGAAAAAAACTATTATACTATTTACTGGTCATCTTTTATGTGCCAGGCACTGTACTGAGAAGTTTATATGTTTCTATGAAGAAGACATTGCTCTTTCCCATTGGACAAAAAAGAAAACCGTAAATCAGAGAAGTTGCTTGACTTGTCCAAGAGCCTGGATGCTGAGGCCAAAGCTCAAGTGCTCTGCACCTCTCCACTGCTTTTCTTCACAACCATCAAACCCTCCCTCCCACAAAGCCAACATGACATCAGCAAAATCCGGACTGCCAATTTCCTATTGGTTTTCAACACCCACTTACCAATGGCACCCAGAGCAACAAGTGGGTTCTGCCGAGGGCTGATGTGCTTGTCGTAGGGCCGGTTTCCATACATGTGGGCAGCGCTGTTGACCAGCCAGGTGCCATTGAGGGCGATGGTGTACCGGAGAATGGAGGCCAAGAAGTAGGAATTCCACAGACTCTCTCCCCAGAGGTACCAGGGCACCAGTGCTGGGACTACAAAGCACATGAGCACCACGCTGATCTTATAGTACCTACGAGGAAGTGCAGCATGTCATCGTCGGGCACCTGATCTGTGAGGGAATCAAGAGCCCAGATGCCTACAAAAGCGAGCAAGTAGCACAGTTTTGAGAATTAAGACAGGCAGCGCACTATAGGAAGTGGTTAGCATTTCAACATACTCTGGAAGAATTTTCATGTAAAATAATCAATATTGTGCCGGCCAAACCCATGTATCTCTGAGACACTTTTATCCTACATGGAGTTTGAGATAACTCCTGGAGATTTCTTCATTCATCAACCTGATAGGCTTTCTTGAATCATTTTAAGAAATTACAGCATTTCTTTAATAATTTTAGGTGTATAACTCTGTATTAACTTAGGATAGTAAGAAATGTTCTCTGTCCATTAGAGATTATATTCCAAATCAGCACAAAAGACAAACAAGCCAAGGGTGCTGGTACAGGCTATAAACCCAGCACTCAGAAGTTCAAGACTATCCTGGGCTACAGATCAAGATGCTGACTCAAAAGAAAAAGTATAGATACAAACATATAGTCACATAAACAGCAATCATTACAAAGTAAACTATGTAACTAAGTGTGGTGATGCACGCCTATAATTTCAGCAGCCAGGAGGCTGAGGAAAGATTGTGAGTCTGAGGCCAGCTGAGGCTGGTTAGATCTTCAAGTTAGATCTTGAAGAAAAAAAAAATCAGAAAGGAAAGTGAAAGAGGTGCCCAGGTGCAGAAAGCAGAAGCAAGGACACTGTTACCAGACCTTTTGTTCCTCACCACTAACAACAATACCCCCCCCCCATGTTACAGCCCAAGCGTTTCAAAGCTGCCTCTCCTAGTCCTGCTCTGAACCAGTGCCTTGCTGGACAGTGAACTAAGCGTGCTATGGACTTCTCTGGCTTAATTCTGGCTGGGTTTGGCTGCAGCCTCTAGGATTCAACTTCTACTCTGAGGCTTCTGGTGAACTGGCCAAGGAGTGACCGATCAGCCTTGGTTCCAATTCTCCAAGCTCCACATTGCCAAGGAAGTCCACACCCTGTGGAGTGAGAAGGCTTGAAACATGGTTTTCTGGGTATGAGAGAAAAAGTCCTGGGCTTTGCCCTAGTATGCTCAAATCCAGCCAAATTCCCTCTTCCTGAGAAATAGATGTTCCTTCTCAAAACAAAGACCAACAAAAACTCCCAGATCCTTCCCATCTCAACAAAGTTGCAGTAGGCCCAATTCCAAGGCTGCTCTGAGGCTTCTTGTATGCTCTGTGGTGTGGGTGAAAGGAGGAATGTCAAGGGGGCATGGCAAGTCCAAGGGGGATGCCAGTGTGTTGGGTCTTCATGTCCAAAACCATTACTCTTTCCAACCATTTTGAACAGACTCAGAAATCTGTCCCATGTAGCTGAGTAGCCCCCTCCCATGGTGTCAGCCCAGAACAGCTGGTCTCCAATTAGTTACAGTCACTGGCTTCTGTGTCTCAGGACAAGCGCAGCACCAAAATGGCTGCCCAACTTCCTTTCTTAATAATTTTCAATGTGAAAGTACTTGCCAACAGATTACAGGGCAACTCTACAAAGTCCTCCAGCACCAAATCCCTCTTCATTTAGAACTCTATTTCTTCAAGCAGTGGTAGGTAGGGAATGGGCTGGAGAGGGGCCATTGGTGCTTCCTGGCTTTTTGCTAAATGAGATTTTTTGTTTGTTTTGCTTTGTTTTGTTTCTATGTTGTAAAACACAAATCACAGAATATTTAACTACCCAACTTGGCCACTTCCTAGCTATGTGACCTTGAGCGGAGTATTTCATTGTACTGAGCCTCAGATTTCTCTTCTATAAAATGTTGTACTAACAAATTTATTAAGTGCATGTGCTGTACCAGGCTCTTCATAGTACAGTCAACAAGCAAAAAATCTGTTCCCTTGTTGAGCAGGAATGTCCTGGTACAGATCTATATATCTGATATATTCTGATAGGAAAGACACACGATAATGAGTATAAATAGATGTAACATGGCACATGTTAGCCATAAATACACAGGAAAAATCATAAAGTAGAGAATTATGTGACATATTAAGGGCAGGTACCTGATTTGAAATAAGCTGTCTAGGGAAGGTTTTCCTTACACTGTGGTTTTTCAGTGAAGACTGAAATTGAGAAGTTAACCATGTGGCTAAGTGTGGTGGAGGAAACCACCAACACAAAGGTCGTGGAGACATTCATGGAACAGCGGGAGTGATGGGGCTGGAGCAGTTGAACAGGGGACAGTGGTAGGAGACAAGAACAGTAGAGGACCAGGTGGAAAGGGTCTTGTAGGAGGCTGTGAAAATAAGTAAGAAAAAACGGTGGTTTGAAGCAAGGGAGTAATAGGATGGTGATTAGGAGTGGTTAAATTCTAGAAATATTCCAAAAGGCAAGTGACAAGATTTGTTAAAAGCCTTGATATTAGAGAGAAGTGGAGTCAAGGATGACATACACGAAAGGAGGAGATGCTGTTAGCCGATATGGCCAGAAGGGAGGAGGAACTATCTGGGAGCAGCACAGGAGAGCTCAGCCAAGGGATGCCAAGTAGGAGGTGTCGACGTGCATGCCTAGAGTTCAGAGCTGCTCCAGAGAGAGGAGGTGACAGGAACAGATGCCCGGCACGTGTCAGCATATTAACATATGACATACACATACACTTTCAAACCATCTGCACACGACAGCCTCCCATGAAGCAGTTTTATCACCTCTCCTTTGCAGAAGCTTGGTTGTGGTCCAGAGAGGTCTGCGGACATCCTCACAGCTGCACTGGTACAGAGCAGCGCCAGAGCCAAACTCAGTCTCTAAATTTCCAGCTGTCTACCACCTCAAGTGCAGCATGCTGCTCAGCCAGTCACCAAGGTCAAGGAGAGAGGGAAACACCAGGGGATAACCTGGGTTGGAGCATCCAGCCTCGCCCTTGCCTCATAAATTGCTCATGTGAATCGAAAACTGTCACCTCAAGGTGAGTCTCAAGAAACTCCAGCTAGACAGAGCTGCTTTCCCATCCTCCTCTGTGTCTGAGACATTCTTCCTCAGCTCTGGCTGACTTGACTCTTCCAGGTCTTGGTCTAGTCAGCACTTACTCTCAGGGACTTCCTTGGTCCCCTTGACCAGAGGAAGTGCCATGAAATGTTCCCATCTCTCAGTATTCTCACTTGCTGCTTGAATGGACAGCCTCACCCATGGAACAATGCTCTCAGCCCTGACTGCACATTACAAGCAAGTGGAGAATATTTCAAAAGGATGGATATTGGGAACACACTGCCAAGCCACTGAATCTGATGTGAGCACTACTATTTTTAAGACCCTCCTGCACTATAAACATGGATACCAGCCTCCCTCTAATCCATCCCTGTCCTCCTACTTGCTGAAAGGTCCTGATTTTGTTTAGGCATCCATCTCTCCTCCTCACAGCGTGTCCTCCAGGGAATGCTGATCCTGTTCTAGTCAGGTCCTAATTGGCTCAAGCCAATTGTCATCAAACACACATTAGTTTAGGACTGGACATGTGGCACAGTAGTGGCCAAGAGGATGTGAGAGAAAGGATGGCTGCTTTTGAAAAAGAAAATAACAAAAGAGGAATAGAGAAATTGGAACACCCACCCACGTTACTGGTAGGAATATTAAATGTTGCAGCCACTGTAAAAAAAAAAGTTTGGTACTTTCTCAAAAAGTTAAATGTCAAGTGATTACATGACTCGTCAATTCCACTTCTAGGTATACATCCAAAACTATAGAAAGCAGAGATCTGAATAGGTGTTTAGCAGTAGTACTATAGTAGTTTGTTCACAATGCTTGTGATAGTATTGTTCATAAAAGCCAAAGTGTGTAAACAACTCAAATGTTCATCAATAGGTGAACAGATAAACAGAAGGATATCTGTACATAAACAGGATACTATTCAGAAGGAGGGTAGAAGTCACAGTAGGAGGAGAAAGAACACAGGACTGTTTAGTAGATAATAGAATTTTATTGGGAAAAAAGGAAAAGTTTTGAGTAGTGTCATGATGATTATACAGCATTGTGAACATGCTTAAAACCACAGAATTGTACACTTATGATTACAATGATAAATATTGTTATATATATTTTGTCACAACAACAAAAAAAGCTATGAGGAAGTGGTTTCTCATTTTCCACAGTGACACCTTGTCCCAGTACAGCCACCTGTGGTTGTGATTGGAAGAAGCCTGGGAAACAAAGTTGATGTCTTAAGCTGACAGAAGTTAGATTTTTGAAAACGCTCTGGAGCCTCTGTGCCAGCCAGTCTGGGGTCGCTTCATACTGGAGTCTTATTTTGGAGTGTAAAGAATTATCTGTGGTTGAAGCCAGTTGAATTAGGATTTTTCCTCTGGAGTATCCAAAACATTTCAGCACACTATCACGGACACTGTCATGTGTCACCCAGATCTCCACTTGGGATGAAAGCACTTGATTTCCCAGTTGATGGTAGTGCTGCCACTGACAGTAACAGCTACTTTGCCTGAGGTCCCGCCCCTCCCCTCGTATCTGCATTCAGTGACTCACCAATGAGGGCAGTAGGCCACTTAGTCTCTGTAGGGTTGACGGGTGGGGTGCCGTTGACACTGAGCATTCCTGCTTCCATCCTTCTTCTGTGGGCGTTGATCCCAGGCAAACTTCCTGCAAAGAGGCACCCACCTCTGAGCTAGCTTCTGCGGTGACTAAACCTGTAAACTGGGTATGTGGCTGCACCAGCCAAATCCAGCTAAAAGGCAGACTTCCCAGGGTCTAGCACAGACACAGAACATGCTCCTGTATATTTGTGGACTGACTAAACACATGACATTTTGGTTAATAAATGATGAATTCTTCTCAGAAAAAAATAAAAGCACCACAGTGATTTTAGTAAGGCAAATAGATAAAGTGCCAAGATTAAAAAGAAAAAAGACACAGTCACACAATAAATGAGCAGCCTGCTTTGGGAGTCTATAAAATGCTTATCTTCTGAGTTGCTGCCAATTTGGGATTATGCACATAAAGCTAACAACCT